CTGCACAGCTCTGCAGTTCTGTAAGATATATTAAACTACATAATAATTTTAAATTCAACAAAGGTATAAACTGAGACATAGTGAAGACAGAAATGTAGTAAAATTTTAAATAGATTTTGTATTTACATGAATGTACCTCAGGTGAAATCTGTTAAAAATTTAGCATGAGTAAGCAAAGTAATTCTAAACATTAAAATTTAAACATTCTGCAGTTAATACTTATTTCAAGTAACCCATCTATGCATTAATGGCTTCAAACATATAACATATGATATACCCTGTAATTTTCCCTGCAGCTTCTCTTCCCCTTGATCATTTGTAGAGTAACAGATAATTATAATGAACAAGAAATAAATAAAAAACCCCAACAAACACATCTTGTATTTTGAAATAAGTATTACTCTGTGTGTTTCTCTGCAGTTATTCTTGATGCACACATTCAGCTGCCTACGATTGGAGAAATAATTTAATAGTTTCCTCCAAACTCTACTCATTTATTTCACTCTCTTCAAGACACAGTGCAATTTTAACTGTAGAACTGCATCAGTACTTACCTACTTCTGGGTTTTTATCCATATTCTGTAGAACCCAATCAATGGGTTTGAATGCCACTCAACAATACTCATTAAAAAAGTTGAATACTTGAACTAAATATTAAAAAAAACCCCTTTAACTTAAAAATTCTCTTTTCTTCATCAGTTTCTATAATCGCTCTTCCTTTCCTGAATAATACTATTCATCAAAGTTTTTGTGAAATTAAGTACAACAAATTACTTCTTCCCCCCACTCCTCCTTCATTTATAAACTGTGATCTCTTGTAACAAATTATTTACACTGATTTGGGCTGCAGATGTTTTTATTCTAATACTTCGTTATCAGATATTGATATTGAACTATAGCTAGAAGCAATTAGAATTCTAATAATTGAGGGCAGCCAGACCAAGACTGTGTATTATTTCCACACCTATAAAGCCAGGACGGTGCTTGCATGATCTCAAACCAGTTTAAAACTAGCATAGCTAGCAACAGTTAACTCTCTGAAATTGCTCTCTGCTTTTACCAGTGCAGAAGAAAAAAATCAAGTCCAGTATGTTCCTTTCTTTTAACAATAACAAGAAATAAAATAGGGTAGGAAATTACAATTTAATGTAAGAAATTATTATTGTGTTGCAACAGAAAATCAATAGGAAAAAAAAACCTTCAAACTTCTAAAGTCTTTTAAAAAGGCTTCAAAAAGCCTTGATGTCTATGATGCTCTAGCAATAGATACCAGCATGATCATAAAATAGATCTATGTATAGAAATCATGACGAAATAAGACATGACATGCTATGACGTTTAATACTTGATACTGCCAGATGCTGAACTCTCTGGCTCTGACCCAGCAAACCATTTAAGCATGTGGTTAGGAGTCAGTGTACACTGTTGCCCCATTGAAGCAAAGAAGGTTATTCAAAGTTTGAGCACATAGTTAAGTGCTTTAAACAATTGGGTCATTAAAGTCCCAACCACTTACTGCCAGTATAAGGCTAAATTACCGCTATGAACAGGTTGCTGCAGAGCTGTCCATTATGAGGCTTACATACCGCTCTTTCCGCTCTTTGAAGCATGTTTTTCACCACTGGATAAGAAAAAAATGTGGGTCTGTCTGGGCAGGAAATTCCAACGTTCCCATCATTTCACTTGCATATGCAAAACCAAATTATATTGAAGCCCAGGTGAAAGAATCACTTAGGGAAATACAAAGCACTAACAATGATAATAGTAATTTTACAATGCCACCCTTCGCCCACCACACATACACATTCCATTAGAGCCAACTTCCTCCTGTATGCAGGGCTAGCAGTCGCTCCTAACTTATCACAGAGTCACAGAACGAGCTGGGTTGGAAGGGACCTTAAAGATCATCCAGTTCCAACTCCCCTGCCATCAGCAGGGACACCTTCCACTAGACCAGGATGCTCAAAGCCTCATCCAACCTGGCCTTAAACACATCCAGGGAGAGGACATCCACAACTTCACCTTGCAATGGAAAGGGTAAAGTCATGCAAATAGCAAATGCTACATGTCATATTTAACATTGCTTAGAGTTTCTAAGATGCTGCTTGATGCTGAGCAACGTTGCTGCCTGCTAAAAGCACTATTGTCAAAAAGAAAACTTGTGCCCTCTTAGTAGTAAAACTTGCAATTTTATCTCAAAGCCAGGACCAAGACTAGTTATAAAAGCGCATTTGCAGCCTTTGTTCTGACAGCTGCAGACTGGGAAATTATGTGTGTTCACTAAAACACGTATCCTGAAATAGGTTTGTTGTGCTAATAGAAGCATGAGAACCAAATTCTGCAGATGTTTGCCTCAGCCCAGGAAATAAGATCCCTTTCTTTAACTTTGGTGTCTACTTCTATTGTGATTTAAGGGTTGTGAGAAAAGTAAGAATAGTAGCTCATAATTTTAATTATGGATTTCTATACCTACCAATATACACCTGTTCTATTCAAATCTCAACTTATGATTCTGCTGTGGTTGGTTTGGGTTTTTGGGTGGTTGGTGAGGTTGGTTTTTTTTGCTCAGGGAGTAGGGATACACTTTGCCTTTGTGAGCATTACATAATATAAAGTTCCTCTTTGTCAAATACTGAGACCTTGGTATAACGTCCCCATAGTCAGGACTGTTCCTGAAATACCTGAAACATCTTACCACTTCATTGCTAAATGCTGCTGACTGCCTCTCTTTCCAGCCTGTCCAGCTGCAAATGCATGGGCTGTTATTCTCGTATCCATTAGCTCTGGTATAACCTTGTCCACTTTTGATGAAGGCCAAAAAAAAAGTACTCACAAAATCAGCTATTGCAAATGTCAGGTTCTGTCAGTGGGAAGCCAAGCAGTGTCAAACTGTATTTGAACCCTGTGTTCAAAAAAAAGCAGAAAAGCCTCTGATGAGAACAACTTACTTCTTTTAGGTTATCTACTGGAAACTACTTAGGTGATGCAAGGATGTGGTCATATTTGGGTAGGACTTTTAAGAATTTCTTTCTATTTTTTGCTCCAAGTGCATACCCTAGTCTATAGAAGAAAGATGTTCTTGAAAGATGTGAGAGTACCTACAGAGTCTTGGGCTACAACTCAAATTGCTCTGCTTGGCTATGGTTTGTCTCCCTAGTTTATAAAACTCAATACATATGACAAAAATAGACACAATTGAAAGTAAACGGGGAGGAAGTAGATGTATTTGACCTCCACGTATGCCAACTAAAAACTAACTTTGAAGTAATGATGATATAGGACAACCTGATGCAAAACAGACCTGAGTAGATTAGTAAAATACCAGCTGGCATTCCCCTGGTACGGCATTTCAGAACATTTTCTATCCATAAACTTAACAAAAAGATGTGTAAATCCAGAGTCTCATTTCCCCAGTGAAGTACAGAATACTAAATAACTTGCCAGGGAACACATAGCAGGTCAACGTGAAGCTACTGATTCAAGTCTCTCCTTGATGGCATCCATTGAATTACAGAGCTGTTTCTCAGACTTTCCTTTTGGATCATTCTTTGGTTGGAACCTCTGCTCCTTCACATATATTTCACCTTACAAATTGGCAGCAAGTTCTAGGCACAGATTGACATAAGCATAATCAAGACCAAAACTTACACAACCATCAGTTTTGGTGGTGAAGATACCATATGGATTATCAACCTCATGCTATTATTAAAAACACATTATTGCATACTAAACACATTTAGCATACTAAAATTGGATTATTAGTGAATTCTGTCAAAAATAAATCCCCAGTGATATGCACGAAGTTTCCAGCTCTAGCATCTTAGGGCTAATATTTCATGAGCCCTAACATCCTAGGGGTAATATTTCATGAGCCAAGACGGCAGAATTAGAAAGAACGCTGCACTACGAAGGAAGATGGGCTGCAACCCAAACTCTATGAGGCGAGTGGCAATGCTGTTATTGATGTTGTTGGGCTAGACTTTCAACTTTTGAAAAGCCTGGAAGAAGAAGGGCAAACAGGAGAGCAGAGTGAAAGAGTCCCAGGTTGGGCACAGGGTAACTACAGATACAGACATAAACCCTGTGCCAAGTTGAAACTTGGGGGCAATTTCTAGAAAAGCAGAACTCCTTTACCTTAGACTATATGTGTGAAATGAGCAGATGACAGCCCTTCCTGCTGCCTTGAAAACTGCAGAGTTTGGAGGAAAAAGCTCTACAGCACCGTAAGGGCACAACCAGACTGCTTAGAGGTAAAACCATATTCCTCTCTCCCTCAGTATACATCAGTGAAGCAAAAAGCAGGAGGCTACCCTTAATTAGGTAGATGTGAAAAAGCTAAACGGAGGAATGAGTCCTCATTTTGAGATGACCTGTAGGTCAGGTTTCAAACTGATCCATTTTAAGATTTAAAAATAGAGTTTGTCCTACAGATAGACTGAGTCACCTCTTCACCCGGCATCAATTAAGTGTTGCTTGAATGGGATCGGTGGACTGAGAGAGCTGGAGGGCTCTCCCTTCACCTTTCACTCACCTTCATCAGTCAGGAGAAGAAAAGGGAAGGACAGTTCTATATACCATTCACTTTGTGTGTATTTTTATTTTGGAAACACTGAGCAGTAAGTAATGAAAATCTACCAGTAATAAAAATCTACTCTAAACTAGAGCTGGGCAAATAACCTTTTTAATGTCTTAGACCCCATATCTGAGCATCAAAAGCTCACAGGCTGAAATATTCTTCAGTCTAACTGATGCTTTAAATTATTTTAATGACTGCCATTTTATGCTTTAACTCCTTGGACCAATTGCAACTGTTCTAAATTTCAGCTTTGCCATTCAGTTATCACACGAGCCATGTAAAACTTTTGGTTTCCTGTTCTGATGGGATCTGCACATTTGCAATTCTGCTTCCCAGTGCACTTGTGTATGAGGCTTCAAACCCCTCTCTGCCAGTAAACCCAAATTATTTGATTGTTCTGAGAAAACGAACACAAAGGTGACAAAAAGATCAAACTGAGTCTATTTAAGATTTGGATAAACATCCATGGAATGCTCCTGGCATTATTTGCCCAGCTCTTTTTTAACACTGCAGTGGTGCAGCATTCCTAAGCTCACCAGGCTCACTCAGCATCTTCCTCCAGGATGGGATCGTAGACAGGGTGTATAACCCACGTGTGTTGCACCCACTCGCTCACTGTAAACTCAGACCCTGCGAAACTTCCTGGAGAGTGAAGAATTAAAGAAGAAAATTGTTCAAAGCATTACAATATGCAATTTCAATGCAAGGCATAATGAAAGTAGCTGTGTGGGAGGATATTAACTTCATTATAAACCTAAATCAGATGCCCAAAGATTTCTTCCTCATCTCCAGAGACCATTCCATCAGGCTCTACAAGAGGTTTTCCAGTGGAAGAAAAATAGCCCCCCCCTCCCTTCAGGTTTGAGAAAGTTGTATGGCTTTTTTAACAGTTTCTAATGAAATCCCATATTATTGCTTCTCCCCTGGGAGACTTCAAAAGTCATGCAGACTTCACACAGCCCACATGCTCATAAACCTCAAGCAAAAGACCAGTAAGGAAATAAATTGTGGTTCTCCAATTAGCATTTGACATTCTCTACTGGTTTTTTGGTGGGGTGAATTTATCTTTGTTCTAAACCATGCTGATAAATTAAATGAGTTACTAAACCCGACATTATTTCATGTTTGAAGGCACAATGAAATCAAACACTCCAATCCACAGTGGGATTTGCTGTCTGCATAATATTTGGGGGAAATATGAAACAAACCCAACAGTTTCAAACATGTTAAAGGGGTTAGTATGTACATGAATATTTTCTTCAAGCTCCTGATTGTGTATTCACAGCTACTGCCAAACACAACAACAGAGACGGGGCATTAGGATATGAAATGGGAAGTGGTCGAATTTTCAAAGCGAGCTGCTGGGTGCCGAAGACTTTTGAAAAAAATCTGGCCCCTGACTCTTTGGTGCTGTTCCAGAAAGAAATATCTCTCTGCTGGCAGCTGGCCAGCCAGCTTTGGAAATCCTTTTGCACAGTTATTTCAGTAAAGCATAAAAGCCGATCCCCAGCTTTCTCTGCCTGATTAAGCACTGTCACCAATCACTATGCAGCTCTAAGGTACGCATGAAATATTCCTAGATAAATCCTCCATCTCCAGAGAAATGTGTTTCCTGTACAAATGTAAATCCAGGTTCTGTGTTGAAACTAATCCAGTCTGGCAGTGCTGTGGCTGTAGAAAAGTTTCCTTGGAAATGACAAACTTCTGCAATGCAAAGTCATCCAATCTTTTCATGCCACTATACTACATTAAAAACACCTGGTTTATTTATACAATGGCTTACAGATCAGGGTCCTAGAAATAATAATACATAAACTTTATAGCAAAAAATATACATATAATAATTCATCCTTCTATGATATATAGAAATGATGTATATTTGTGTGTGTGGACATATATATATAAATATATGGGTTGTACTTACGTTTTGGGCACTTGTGTATAGATATGTGTATCTACATACACACAACATACATTTATATATCTTTCTAGGTGCCATGTGTGTATGTATTAAACACACATAAATACACACACAGGAGCATATTTACACTCTGTGAGTAGCCATGTACTTTGCAGAATCTGCACACAAATAGCTGGAGTCCTTCACTGGCTGTGAGCATCAAAAGGCTCAGTGATCACCCACATTAGTGTCTGCGGAAAGAGAACTAATGTCATCGCTGTGGGCACAGGACTGGCTTGATGCATCTTCCTTTGTGAAGAACTAAATTTGCTGGACAGTGGCATCCTGCAACGCAGGGCTTGTTGCACGGGCCAATCTCGTTCCAGTTGTCACATGTTTTGACACATCCCGGACCACAGGTATCATAAACTGCACCGTGTTTACACTGGGTTGCTGAAAGGCAGTTAAAAGGAACAAAATAAACATGTTACACAGAGTCCCACAAGGAAAGTCACACATCTCTGCTTGGTTTCTACCACAAATATCAAAGAGCACTTTTCGGTATGATGATCATCTAGAGGAAAAAAAATCACTTGTAAAGAGATTCCACTGTAATAAATGCAACACTACTTTACATCACAACTATAAAGGTAGCAAAATTGCTAATCAAAAAGGTATCAAGTTCCCAGCAGTCTTGACCTTCATTTTGAGAATTCTAACACCGCTGATAGTTTATAAAGCTTCACCAAGGTTTCTGTCTATAAGCAGATCCATGCTATATATTTAAGGCTTAACATTGTTTGTTTATTTTTTACAATGATGTCTTTTATCAAAGATTCCTGAAACATTTACAAGGACAGACAGTTATTATCAGTCCTACTCCTACAGAAAGGACAGTCATTCACCACGTCAGGCTTCCTATTCCTAAGATTATACTTCAAATATTGCATATTGCAGCAAATGAAAACAATGCTGTTAATTCAGCAGTACCATTTATAAAATAACTTAAAAAAAAAAAAAAATCAATTGTTGCCATGCTTCATGCTGTTTTACCAAGGGATCACTGAGAATGTGGATTCTTGTACTTAATGATTCCAGTATCTATTCATTGATTTATGTAGTTGACAGTTCAATGCATTTCCAACAAAAGAGACCACCGAGGGCTCAGCTAAAAGCACTATACCGCTTCCAGATCAATATTTAAACTCTTAACATTTTATATCCTGTCTTTTTAGTATGGAGAATAATAACACGGTTCAATAACAAATAAAAGCCAGTTATTCTTTCTAACGGCTGTGCTGATGGTGAAAACAAGTACTGATAAAATAGTTTATAGATAGTAAGGGACTCTCTCAAGCACCCAGAATTATCTCTTGCTATTTGCAGGGAGGTGGTTGCATTAAGAAGGTTTCTTCCGTTTTGACAGATATTGAAGGTCTGGATTTTTTTAAAGAACAGTTCTGTTATGGACAGAGAAATGCTGGTTTGTTGTGAGAATCGGCCTTAGAGTGACATTACAGTACTGTTATTATTCATAAAGAGAAAATAGGCAGAAATAAATCAATTAAATATGTGTAAGAGTGTATCACAGAGATCACAGAGGATAGAAGTCTTAGAGCTAAGGGTACCATAAATTAAAGGGGTTCCCCTTCACCAGTAACAAGTTGATCTTCAAAACAGCATCAGCTTCTTGCGAGTTTTACTTCTTATGCATTTTGTGGCACTTATACATATGTGAAAAGAAGGAATTCTGGCAAGAATGCATCCTAAGTTCTCAGGGCACAGACATTAAATAAGTAAACAAAAAAATTGGAAGAATTGGATAGTACAGCAGAAAATGACCCTGGAGTTACAGAGAATCAACAGCTGAATATTAGATAGATATTAGCTGAATAATATTAGCTGAATATTAGATAGATGTTAGATATTAGGTAGATACTAGGGAAAAAGAAAAAGCCTTCTGTCTTTAAGCATGAGAAAGCACTGGAGCAAGATACCTAAAACCGCTGTGAGATATCTTTTCTTGAACATCATTTCAGAATAGGTTGGAAAAACATGTTTCAGCAGTGTTCCAGATGGGCTAATTCTGCTTGTGGGCATAGAGATTTTGAGAACTTTTTTCCAGCTTTACATTTCTGTCTTGCTCTGCATGATAACTTTCATGCACACTGAAGAAGGAACAAACAAAAGGACTAACTAAAATGAAATTTGAATGAAATGGGAAATTTAGAAGGTGGGAAAAACATGCAAGAAATATTGAACATACAGCACAATGTTACATTCATTGAGAACTCTGCACTTACATAGCGTGTTAATAGAGAGTGAATCTCTGTAAGAGGGGAAACAAAAATGTGTGGAGCTCACAGGAGTTTTGCAAACAACGTATTAACTGTCTAGAAAGGCAGACCAAGATGTTCAAAGACAGATAGTGGTTGTCCACACACAATGTGAATTATCTTAAGGGGGTGTTTACTAGAAGCTTTTGTCCCTCCTCTCTGAAAATGAGTTTCCCTTCAAAGAATCTCTAATCGACCACCACAAACTGAAACATTAGGCTTCAGTACATGCAGTTTCCATATAGAAAGGTCTGCAAGCTTCAGTTTTCAGGCTGCACAGGTTTCATCCTACAAAGCTTCCACTTTTTCATCTTTGCTCCAGAGCAAATGAGAATATATTACAGGCTGCCCTGGGCAGCCATGGGATCTGTAAGTACTCCCCAGCTCTGCTCTACCACACGTGGATGTGGTATGTCAAAACACCTCCTTCTCCTTCAGATGATGCCATGTATAAGATATGATGACTTTATTTTCTGCTGTAGGCAGTCTATAATGGCATTGTTAACTTGCTGTCAAGGGAGACATCAGAAAAGTACAATGGCTGCTGTTTAAGTTCCCTGGATGGCTTTTATTGTTGAGTGCTTCAGTTGTTAACATGTGGTGTGATTGATCCAGAACATTCCACTTCATCAACAGTTTAAAAAATAAAAATAAAGTCATTCTGCAGTAGGCTTCCCAGGGACTGCCAAAATGAATCAGTACCATGTAAACATGGAAAACAGAAGTGATGCCTTTGCACCCGTCTTTTAAGGCAAATTCCTCTCTTAAAGAACTGAGCTCTGTTACTAATAACTTCCTTAGTGCACTAGCAAAAAAATAAGTAAAATCAAAAACTCAACCCCAAAGTACAAAAGTTACTAATAATACTACATTCTGCAACGTTACCAGTCCCAACAGGATTTTTCCACTCTTCTTCTAGAACATGTGTTTGGCATGACAGATGCGAGCTTCCTCAGACCACTTTCTGAGCTGGTGGGATGATAGCCAGCTCCAGTCCAGAAGCATATAGTCACATAAATACAGCACTGTGCCTGAGCTAATAAACCCTGCCTAATAAGGCTATACAGTTTTCAGACCAGACCTGGTTTATTCCAGCCAGTTTGGCAGTTTCACAGGGAAAGCTTGTATCTGTCTGCGCCTGTCTTTGTAGACATGGATGTAATTATTTAGGAAGAATTCTTGTTCTCCAACACAAAAGCCAAAATATCTAACATGGAACTGCTGAAGGATTCCCTTGGTGGATGGTATCTGGTAAATTTGATTCCACAGAAATTTCTGAGCTAATATTTGTGCATCAGTGAATCATCCTGATTCTTCTGCTGGTGTTGCACAGTTTGGGCTTTCAAGGTGTTTTGTAGGGCTTTCAAACTGAACATCACTCGTGGGGCAATTCACAACATCTCCTTCTAACACAGGAGAAAGCAACAGATCTGGCACTGACCTGCTAATGATACATTTGTGTCAAAGTTTTCAACTCTCAGTTTTTAATAAGTTTCCACTGAAAAGTCACAATAGCCTTCTGATACATATTCACAAGGAATAAAGCGATTAAAGGACAGTGACATGTAACAGGGGAAAAAGAGTGACTTTGGCCAGAAAATTCCACAGCAGAGAAGAGAGGACCCAGAAGACAAGAGTAAAAATCAGATCTACATTCATCCTCCTCTAGTTCAACCAGTCACATAGGAAAAAGAGAACATTGTTCAGTTTTTATGAGGCTGTTGGATCATGTCAGCACATCAGTGCTAGCACAGGCACTTTGCACTTTATTATAGGCCTTATATATCTTATTTTTCGTGCCTGTGTAGTCATGCTCATGGCAGGGAGTTATTGCCATCTGCCATCCTTGAGTCTTGACTTCTTTCTCCCAGTGCTCTCAGAAATTCAATGTTGAATTACTACGGCCCAAGGCCTTTCACCACCTCAGTTTACTGAATTACATTTTATAAACTGCTTGCTCAGCCTTTCTTTGGCTAAAAAAAAAAAATAATCTTTTATCTATCTCCTTTCCTTTTCAAACCTCTTCCTTCCATTTGTATCCTTTCTTTTCCCTCTAGCATAAATCACTTGCTCTTATTTCTTCTTTCCCTCATGCTCTCTCTCCTGGGTTTTTTTCTTTTCCTTCACACATCATATTTCTTCCCTACCCATCCTAACAGGTCTCACTCTCCACTACTTCCCATGGAAACCCATATTCCTTTCCAAACCTCTTAGTTCCTGTGCAGATCTCATCAACTCTTTCCTACCCTAACCATTTTCCTCATTCATTAGCTTCTTTTCTTCACCTTTCTGATTAAACGAGAGCTGACATTCCCCCTACCAAGCTAACCTCAAAGGACAGCAAACCTTGAGCAGTAGTATTTTGAGGAGGACACAGAGAAGGATACGCTGCTGCGCTGGGGGAGGAGGAAAAGCATGTAGGGAACAGGACATGTAATTCAGCCTCCCGAGCACCCTGTTTGGCTGGCCCTCCAGACAACACAAGCTTTCTAAAGATTATAAAAATGAGCTAAGTGTAGAGCAGTTACGGTAGAGGAACTGGCAACCACACAAGATCTAGTTTTATAACACACAGAAGAATAATTAAAACCTGACTTTACTAATAAGTATACTCCATTTTCATCAGAACACAGCTCTTCCAAGTATCCCACCAGCTGTCAAGCAGGAAATGAAAGTCACAGAATGCTAAAGTTTTATTACTGATATACTGTTTCATACTCGGGAACTTTTATCCATAATTAGGACACAATAATTGTAACTACAAGTTTTGGGGAGAAAAAAAGTAAGGTAAAGATTAAAATCTTCATGCTGGCCACTTGTAACATATGGAGTGCAGTAGATGCACTTTAATGCTTACTATACAATTTACTGTAGAAGATGATGCTACTTGTTTGACATTAGATGCTTAAGTAAGTGTTTGGAGGGTATTTGACCAAATATAGCTTATCTATATATTTTGCTTAACAAATTTTCCCCTTTCCCTCTAGAAGTCTGCACTGAGATTAAAAAACTCAAGTAGATTTAAACATTTTTTTCATTAGCTTTAATGGAAGATGTGTGTTTAAATTCCTTCATAATGTTCTCTCAAGGACTGTTTTTGCCTTAGAAACTTTTAATGTCTTTGGTAAAATGCCAGATAAAATTGTGAAAAGAAGCCTCAATTAGTTAAATCGTGATATGCCAACAGTTGTATAAACTCCTTAAGGCAGGGACTGGAGTTTTATTCTTTTTACAGCATCTGCCACAATGAGTTCTCAGACTGAAATGCTTTGGTAAAAAAAAAAAAAAAAAAAAAAAAAAAAAAAAAAAAAAGAAAGGAAAAAAAAAGTCAGGATGCTTGTGTCAGGCTCTGCATGGATCTGCTACCAGATCAATAGATTAAAATTACACACATTATTAGTGCTGTCTAAGACCACATCCTTGAAGAGGGTTTTCACTTAGTAACACCCTGTTTGGATTGTTCTGTTCCTTTGTAAGGAAAAAAAAAATGAGCCTTTCGGGAACAGTCAATCAAAGGTAATTTGCTCTGTCAATCACCCATCCCTGCTATCATGCCTTCAACAGAAAAGGAAATTGAAGTTGAGAGAGTAGACCCTGAGCCACACACAATCACCAAAATGGACCACAGAGTAATAGCTCTTTGACCAGCACTGAGTATCCTTCTCTCTTTTTTTTTTTTTTAACTACTGTCAAGTGCTTTACATAAATCTGAATACATTTACAGGCAAACTGATGCCATTATAGCATGTCCACAATTAATGAGACAATCATCAGGGGAAATATTCATCTGCAATATTGCATTTTACTTCAAGTGCCCATGACCACAGGCCACCACTTCTCATGGAAACAATTACAATTACTTGCAGTTAATGCAGTCCTAATCACATGGGGAATCTGGCCCAAGTACCAAAATTAATGCAGATTTGTATTTAAATATTCCTATTAAATACATTCTCTCTTCTTCCCTTGTTGGACCTACTGCTATCATGTATGCATGTTGTCTCTGGAAGTAGAACTATGCTTTAACAGGAGGTCAAATGAGTTTAACCATTATCTGTAATCAACTGTTTACGTATCCTGAAAGAAAAAGGCGTGTACTTCTTCCTGGAAGTACATAGAGTTAAGATAGCCAGCATTAGAGGTGACAAGTTTTGCAGTGAAAGAAACATTTCTGATATTTGATGGTTGAAAAATCTTCCCTGATAAGGTCTTTCTCCTTAACTCAGAATGTAGCTTCCCTGCTGGTGCAATCACAGTCCTTTCTAGCCCATTCATTTTCAATCCTCCTTCACCAAGAAAAGTACAGTAGCCTATTAGCCTATGTACTGGCTTACAAAGAAGCAGTCCCAAAACACTTACCTGCACAGTTCTTCTCCGGTACCCACTGGACTTTCAACCCTTCCCTCTGACAAGCCCGGGCGTATGCCAGGAATGACTCGCAGTAGCAGTTTTTATGGACTGGACACTCACACATGTCTGTCACACAGGACCTGCAGAACAAAGACCCAAAGCAAATAAGCAAGGAAATCTTTGGCAGATATCTGTCTGAGGTTTGGAGTTGTTTACTTTCCAGTCACATGGAGTTCGATTCCACAACAAACTGTGCTAAACGGCAAGAAAGTTAAACACATCTCTGCTGTCAGCTCCCAAGGGCCCATCTTTTTTTGATGTGCTGCTCTGATGCAGAGAAGTCTCAAGAGCACCAGGTAGATAACCATGCAGAAACAGGGAGGTGAGAAGAAGACCCAAAAAACATCAGGCAGAGAGGACCGAGACCACAGTGGGCTAAGGCAAACTCCATTTTGGGAATGATTTTGTGTCAATACAAAAGACTTCTTTCTTATTCCCTGGAAAGTAAAAATCTAATAATTATACAAAAAATAGCAGCAGTGTTAAGTGGATGACTTCTGCAGGTAACAAGCACATGCCCTGCCATGCAAGGGATGAGCAATGGCACCTTCTCTCCAGGTTACCTCCAGTCTTTCCCTGCTTTGAAGGCCCCCAAATTACTACATTCCTGTTTCCTCAGCAGCATCACTACTAAATGCCAGACTTTAAGAAACTCCAAAGCAGCAGGGGTGACACAGCATAACTCAGCAGTTCTCATGCTAGGAAATCCCCCAGGCACTTGTTAATACCATCATCTTCTTCCTTTGCGTAAGATGGAATCACCACAAAACATGGCAGGGAGCAAAGCTGCTAACATGGCCTTAAGTAAAACTGCTACTGCATATGTCACCACCATAATTCAACTTAGCTCATCCAGAACATGTGCCCATTTGGCACAGACCTAAAATACAACTGGCAAGAGTTGGCGGATTTGCAGTCAGCAGTTTCTGCACATGCAAAATACTTAGATGCTTCTGCATCAATGCAGATGCAAATTCTACTGCTCCAAGTAGAATAATTAGAAGGCAGGGACAAGGTGTAGAGAAGACAGAGTATGTCTTCTGAAAATCAAGCCCTCAGTTCCTCTGCTTTCCACTGAGGGTGCTCTGTGTGTGCATCTTGGGTGCCAATGGACAAGAGGCCCCTGCTCCATGCAAGTTCAGGGACTTCTCCATTACTGAAAGGACAAGGCAACGTTTGCAAGAAGATCAAATTCTCCAGAAAGACCAAGGGCTGAAATGAAAAATGAGCTCTTCATGCTAATTGCTCTTGCTATGGACTAAAATTTCAATTACCTATAGGAAGAGGATGAATATAGGCTTAATTTTCCAGAAACTTTCCCCATACCTGAATAGGTAATAGTTTGGAAAATGTGCAAGCACCTCATTCAAAGTAATCAGGAGCCCTAATGCAAATACAATGCTTTAGAGTCATTGGGAACCCTTTATTCAAAACTAGAAGAGAGGAGTAGTGGTCTTTTGAATGCAGAAAATCTTGTTTCTGCATATCCAACAGTGCCCCTTAAAGAGGAGTATTTCCACTTGCCAAAGTGACTTTTTCAGTGACCATTCATATTGTTAAACCTGACAGTTCTGCTTGACATTGCCATGAGCCTTTAATCATTTTACTATCAGTGGAACCCCCAGCATGAAATTACCTAAAAATTATTTGTGACAGATAATCTACATAAGTACTAATGTAAAAAGGTCACCAGTCCTGCACTTACTGATACATACCTACTGTGGATAAACAAAATTGCTTTGGATCAAATATATAACATGCTCATATTTACAGACCAGTGGTTTTCATTTCAAATAACTTTACTTTCAAGAGACAATGTAATTTTATTTCACTTTAGTTCTGCTGTAGGTCCCTTTACATCTTTCCCAGTAGCAGATGTTGCTGTATGGGTATCACAGCTGACAGGCTGCAAGGAACAGACTTGCACAACATCCTTGTGTGATATTGTCAGCTGATAAAAGACCTTGTATAAGCACAAAGGGTCACCTTTTTACATGACACACTAAATAACTTCACACTGTTTCCCTTGGCCACAACATCTTTGTGGTCTCTTGCTAGCATCCCTGCAGCAGGCACTGCTCCATATACCCCACACCATTTAGAAGTGAAGTAGATGCATGTTGGCAAATTATCACAAAGAGAGTCTGTAATAGTCTTCACAGGTGGAGTCCATTACCAAGATACCATTTCATCATCTTTTTGTTTCTGTGCTATAGCCTCCTTTACCAATCACATCCTACTACTCTCCACTCCGATTTAGTTATTATTGATGCCTGTGATGTTTAGGGATGTTTGCCAGTGCCAGGATGGCTATGTGCTCACCAACTTCTTACCTTAGAAATCATAAAATCCTAAACCTGAGGTACTTCCTCTGCTTTTCAGAGCACATTTAAAAAGAAACCAAAAAAACCCCACATTTTTTTTTCTATTACTCAACAGCAGATGCCACCTCCTGCACTGAGTCAATGCACCTACAGCCACCACAGACACTCACATCAGATCAGGAAATCTCCAGGCTCACCGACAATCACCCAGTCTTGTTAATCATTAATATGTTTGTGGCAAGGTTAGCACTCACCCTGAAAAAGCCTGGGCATGGTTTGGGGGATTCGGGAGGCCAGGGCACCGTTCCCAGCCTCCAGGAAGGCAGCACGGCCTGAATGTGAGAGTTTAGCCCCTACGTGAGCACGAGCGACACGACACCATTAGCCCTTGGCATTGAAATGACCTTGGACATCCAGACAGGCTCCAGAGTGAAACATCTCCACTTTGGCTGGGATCTGTACTGCTATTTTGCTACAGTGTTCAGCATGGTTGTCCACTAAGGAAGGTACCATGCCACGTGCAGCACAAACAATCCACTGATTCATTACACACCTAATTGCTTGTGTAATTTTTATTTTCCTGAAGTGTTTAACCCTGGTGACAGCTGCTGGGCTCAAGCCCTAGGCTTGGCTGAGGAGCAATCATCAGATTGCGGTGGTCTTATTAATGAATTACAATTGCTAATAATTTGTACAGTTTAATTAATTACAGTTAAATGAGAATAAAGGAAACTATAACCACAGCTGCCAAGCCTAGTCAATCAAAATAAAACCTTTTTTTCCTAATGACATTCCTTGTTGGCAAGTTGAATGCATCAATATTAATTGCAGTTAGATGGATTGGCAGTTGAGAGAGAGGGATCTTTTTATATCACTTCTGAAATCAGCAGGGAGCAGATACGTGGTTTGTTTGACAGCCACCAGGAGAGTCAAAGGGCAGTTCTGAGAAAGGATCTGGAAGCAAAAGATGTCTGTCCTCCGGGAGCTGGCTAGTGAGGGGGAGCTGGTGATGGCCCATGGGTGAGCTTTGAATTTGGGTCTGTATTTTTTTTTCAAAACATGTTTATTTCTTGCATTTAATTACATTCCTCACAGTTACTGTTGTTACAGTTGCATTAGAGGGGTACTATGGGATGCTTCACTAGGTAAATTTAAAAAACTCTTCTTGTGTGCTATCCTAATCCTTTCCCCTTGCAAAAATCTTTGGTATGCCCATAGCTTTTTTTTTTTTTAACCCTCTCCAGTGATTGATACAATTCAAAAATTACTCTCTGCTGCCCCGGATTCTACCTCCTCCTCATTCCTCCTTTGAACCTGATAAATAGATTCAGTGACACTAACTACATATATGCAGAGACTTATCTGTACTCTAATCTGACTGGACTGTTCAAACAGCAGAAAACTACTAAAACTTTGGAATTATGCCGATAATGAAGCCATACTTACAAGTTACCGTACTGTACGCTAAAGGAGACTTTGCATCTTGCAAGGTAACTCTTTACCAAGACCAAAACATTTGCTTAAATGTAGTAAAATTGAGAATACACATCAGAAACTTAAACATCAAAACATTACAGTCATATAGAACTAATCTCACAGGAAGACTGCAGTGCAAGTTACTTATAAAATTAAGCCATTTTACCAGCTATGGAAATACACACAAAGTACATCAGGCAGCCTTAGCACTGCCTTCAGAGAAATCATACAGAGATGCAATGATGTTGTGGTCCAAAAGAAAATTACATTTCTTTTAAGGACATATTTACATTTCTAAAAAAGAAATAAAAATATCCAGCTATGATGGCGCATTTAATTTGGAGTCCCTGCTCCAAATAAGCACTGGAGCACAGCCAACCTCTCAGTCCTCAACTGGTACCAAGTGACTCACTGTGATTCCTTTTGATGCTGTCTATGCTGCCTGCAGGGTGTGTGTCAGAGATGGGCTAATTGGGTGTGTATACTCTTGCAAGGGGAAATCCATGGAAGTGAAGGCATCCGGCAGCTGTGGGACACACACACACACACTCCATTGCCACATCTTCAAAGTGAACTGGTTGAGCATGCTCCTTCAGCAACAGCCCTTTTTCACATTAACCCATGGAAAGTCTCCAAGTCCCACAAAGGGCAAAGAAGCAAGTCCGGTGCTACATGCACTATTAAAAAGAAGAAAAAAATCACCGCAATGAAGCCTACAGCCTCATTCTGTGCCACACGGGATTGAAATTGCAGATGTTCACTTGCTTAACATCAGCAGTTCCTTTTCCTTCGCAGTACACACAAACCCAAAACCAGAACCAGCTATTTTAGGAGGGACTATTTCTTTTTGCATTTTTTTTTTCCCCCACATTTTACAACAGGAGTGTGATGCAGTGCATTTTTCAAACCTTTTGGTACCTTCAAGAAGTGTCTCTACACAGATGGAAGACACTCTCTTCCTCTTTCACCAGTAGGTCTCAATAGACTTTACAAAAGCAATTAGAGATACTGCATGACTACATAGATTTTATGGATATAAAGAGGCATCAGGTGGTGAAGACGTTTGTCCTTTCTACGTGGGATAAGCTGTACACTTGCAAACTCCAAAGCCTGAAGGGTCATCTGCCTAGAGTGGAGGACTACTTTCCAGCCCCATGATCCTGTGAGACAGGCTTCTTAGGATAACTTCTTACTGGTTATGCCAAATCAGAGTTTTAGTACAGGCTTGGTCTAAATTAGCACTGGTTATGAAAATAGCCATATTCTACATGACTGCCAGT